GAGAGAGAGAGAGAGAGAGAGAGAGAGAGAGAGAGAGAGAGAGAGAGAGAGAGAGAGAGAGAGAGATTGTGATTTGAAATGGCACTGTTGTCATGCTGCAAAAAACTTTTGGCATTGTTCCAGGACGTAAGAGCGTCAAGTACCCTGCCGAAGCCTGCATTGAGGCCGGTGGTTAGGAAAGAGCCCACGAGGGTTCTTGTTAGCAAATCACAGGCGGAGGCGCGTGCGGAGTCATGGAGCAAGACCAAAATTGTTTCGCTCAGAGAGAGTGGCTTAAAGGTACACTCTCCTTTCCAAACTTTGCTCGAATTTGCCTTGTGCTGTGTAGTAGTCTGCTACTCAGGTGTTTGTTACTCTCTCCCATTTGAGAGAGTGGCTTAAAGGTATTGGTGGTAAGGAAATCGGGCCGTAGGCCCGTAGCAGTTGCTTGTTACTTTCCCCCATTAGGGACTTTGTTTGTAGTCGTTTGTACCCGATATCACCCTTAAGCCACTCAGGTCCCATAACAAACAGGTCTCTTGCACGCCCGATGGCAGAAGTGGGATAACACCTGAGGGGGTTGACGCGGGGCGTGCAAGAGACCTGTTGTGTTTGCAGAGCTGGTAGTCTTGGTTTGGTCCGAGCGTGGGAGGAATCGTACAGATTGGCAAGCTGACAGTCAGAAATTGCTTGGAATATGTGAATCTATCAAAGACAAAATCGGTAAATGTAACGGACGAGCTTCAAGTATGGCCGTGGAATTCTGATATGCATTCATTTCATTCATTATCACCAAACAGAAGGAAGCGCTATGTGGTGTGTAATAGGTGTGTCTTTTCTGACTTGGCTTGGGAAAAGGAACGGGACCGATGGTCTCCAATATGGAAAAGGAGGCAGAACCATAAGGACCTGTCTTGTCTAGAAACTAGTAAAAAGTATTATAAATAAAAACGAAACTTTGAAATTTGTACCGATCTTGCTGATGGGAAGGGAATTGGACGGATGCTCTCCAGAATAGAACTAGAGACAGGGCCATAAGGAGTAAGGAGTATTAAGGACCTGTTCTTGTTTTGTTTTTTTGTTTGTTTTTTTTGAAGGGAAAAGAAAAGAAAAGAAACTTGGGGACCGATTGGTAGATCCATCCAAAATGGAACGATACAGAGAGGATTAGCATGGGCCCTGTACAAGGATAACACGCAATAATGGGGGGGGGAGAAAGCCTTTACTGACAAGTGAGCTCTTCAGTAGTCGTTATGTCAAGGGCCGATCTTCGCTGTTTACTTCATTTCTTTGCTTCATCTGTCATGGAGATGATCTCAATGGCAATTTGTTTTCAATTCTCAGGCACACCTTATGTGGCATTAATTAAGTTATTATTAACGGAAAAGTTGGGAAAATGCAAATCACATTATTTAACCCAGACTTCTCGCCGATGCATGGAGTGGACACCAAATAAACCAACAGCAAAAAAAAGAAAAAGGGGGGGGGGGGAATAATGGATCAAAGGAACCTAAAACCCCAAGGCAAAACCATGCTTTCATGCAAATTTCCATGGCAACCGGCGGGACGTCTGGACCGGAATCCAGACGGTCTGGTTGTCTGGGTATGGGTCCGGTGACTGGTCCGGTAGGTCTGGATTGGGCCCAATTTTGAAAAATTCGAAATTCTTTTGGGGGGGGCCTAGGACGTTTTTCGGGTCCTAGGCCGCCCCCAAAAAATGCCCCCAGTATTTTTTGGTCGTTTCAGGGCCTACCGGACACCACCAGACGCTTCGAACAGCTCCCTCTGCTGTTGTACTACGCTGGTAGTTCATCGGATGAGGATGAGGATGATTCCAAAAATGACGCGCTGGCAGCAAAGCGCCACAGAACAACAAGCTAGAGAGAGAGAGAGAGAGAGAGAGAGAGAGAGAGAGAGAGAGAGAGAGAGAGAGAGAG